GGTCACAGAGGTGTCAGAGTCACCTGCATGCCTGTCCCCAGCCTGGCAGACCCTGCCGTGGCTGCTGCATGGAGCCTTGCAGGATTTGGGGATGTGTCACTGCCTGCTGGATGTTGGCAGGATGAGCACCGAGTCTGGCTGCCAGGAGGGACATGGGAAGTAAAGGCATTCCCTCCTCTAATATGTGGGCCTTTCCTTCAAACATGTACATTTCCGCTTGCTCTCCATCCTTCCTTGTGCAGACATCTGTCGCTCTGCTGCCCTCAAGCTCCGTGCTGCCTGCAGCCCTTGCAAGAGTAAGGTCCATCCCAGCAAAACATGAGCCCATTTTCCACCACACTGACATTTCCCCACTTGCTCAGCTTTTAGGGCCTTGAAAAGCTGCTATGTTAATGTGTTACCTTCTTTGTTCTCTGACAAATGTCACGCAATCGTGGTGATGTGACAGTTGCACTCCTCTGCCAGCCCTGATACCGGATGCTACTGAGTCTCTTTGATGAGATACCCTCTGCTTTCCTCTGAGTCCTGCTAGCTGGCATGGCTTGCAGGTCTGTCCTTAGAAACTGTTCGAGAATCCTGGCTCAGCTACAGGGTTCCCCCTCTGAAGACAACTCTCTTGCTGTGGCTGCAGACCCCCAGGGCCTTGTGCTCACCCTGGGGCTGCCTGTTCTGACTCCATGTGCATCCCTGTCCCACTTCTCCCTGCCTGTCCTGCCCAAATGTGCATTCCCATCTCAGCTTTCCCAGTTTGTCCCTAAGGCAACTTGGCAGTTTGCTGGTGCTCAGGTGCCTCCTCCCTTCCCAGTCTCCCACAGAAGCCTCCACAGAGCTGACAGTGTTTCTTCAGCCCTGGCAGGCATCCAGGGGCCATGGTCACAGCCTTTGCCCTGAAGACGAGCCAGGTTCTGCTGACCTGGGCAGAGAGGGTCCAAGGGGACCTTCCAGGACCCCCTCACACTTGGCACCAGCAGGTGTCCACCTCTCAGCTGGAGCATGTCCCTCAGGTTGTCGGGTGCATCTGAACTCCCACTGCACCTTTAATCCACCCCCAGCCACACTCTCTCCCCATGCCTTTACCTATCCCACCGCTGGGTCCCAGCGTCCCCTGCCACTACTCCAAAGCAGACCCCTGTACCATGAATCTGGGCTCCTTTTTGCTTCCTGCATGCCAGATAATTTGTTCCCAGGGTTTGTATCCCCAGAGTCCAGCACTTCTTTTTAAGACCTACTCTGAGATCTGCAAGGAGGCCAGAAGCAACTTCGCTGAGCAGAGGCTGAGACCTGCCTGCAAGGAGCAGGAGCGGACACTGCCGCTGGTCCAGGACCCCACACAGGTGACAGAAGATGGGCTGGACTGACTGTGCATCTTGCTGCTGGTCCAGAGCTGACCCTGGCCTCACTTTGCACCTCAGGACGTGTGAGGTGGGCATCAGTGCTGGGGTGGGCCACTGGTGCTGTGGTGGGCACTGGTGCTGGAGCTGGCAACTGCTCTGCCCCGTGCCCATGGAGGTCAGGGAGATGGGCTGAGCCTGGCAGGCAGCCTGCCACCAGGAGGTTGGGAAGGGACTTCAGTTGGTGCAGTAACGAGGCCAGGGGCCTGCGCTGCTTGCTAGTGAAGGGTCCCTGCATTTAGGTTCAGAGAAGTGCCCAGGAGGGGTCATAAAGCATGACCATCTTACCTGCTCCCATCTCCTCTGGAGGTGCTCACAAGGCTGAGGGCCAGCATCCATCCCTCTTTCCATCACCACTCGCACCCCACAGCACCCACCTTTCTTCTGCCATGTCCCAGTTGAAGGGGTGCCAAGGGATGTTGAGCTCCCTGTGTAGCCTGAATGACCAGGCCTGTGGCCATTGCTTAACTGTTTCTCAGGCTTGTAGCAAAGGCCTAATTTGCTTTCTAACCTTTTATCTAGTGTTTAACATTTGTCAGGAAGATAACTAAACCTTGAAACTACTTCATAAATAATGGTAGAAAGGATACAGACTGGTAACTAATCACTTCAAGGCTGTAAGTAATTCAAAGCATGGACTTAGATGTAGAAAGGAGCTGCCTCCAGGAGCATTCCTATGTTCTTCAGGAATTTGGCAAGCAGATAATCAGTGGATTGGTGTCCAGAGATGACTCAATACCTTAAAAGGATAATGTGAGGAAGGGTATTGTGCTGCCCACGACCACCAGAGACCACCAAGGATCCCTGAAAACTCCTGGGCAGGTGCAGAAGGGACTACTGACCTTGTGAAATAGAGCACTTGTGACCAGCTGAGAATAGTTGGTCATAGTAATTAATATGTTAATTAGATGGGTGGAAACCTGTACATTTTGTGTGTATACATGACTGACAGAGGTGTCTGAGGGTGTGCTGGCTTTGTGGTGAAATATCCCTAGCACCCAGGCCCAAATAAAGCAACATCTCCTCTCTAAACTCAGGCAGTTTCCAGAGTCTTTATTCCAAGTGACACCTGTGTCAGGGGCTGGCTGGGCTGCCCTCCCCAGACCAGAATCAGCTCCAGGACACACCAGCACCTGATAGCTCTTTGCCCTGCTCAGCCTGCCCCCAGCAGCTCTCAGGGCTCTATGTCCCCATCAGGATCCTGGAGCTGATCCTCTGGGACCAGGCCACCAGCAGGGCCACCCAGCCACAGCAGCAGCGCTGGCAGCCACTGCCCCATGCGCATGCTGAGTGCCTTCCAACCTCACAGGCTTCCTGGGCTTCATGCCCCTTGGCTAATTCATGATTGGGACAGGCTATCTGATAGCCACTAACCAGGACCTGCTTGAGTTTAGCCAGATGACCCTGAAGACTTCAGCAGCTGCAGACCCCGTAGCAGCAACCCCAAATCCAGCCTCTGGCATGCTAACCACCCTGCTATGCCTCCCCTGCATCTGAGGCTGCCCCAGCAGCAAGCATCCAGAGAACCGCTTTGTGTCAGTGCCGGCAGCGCAGGCAGCTGGAAGTCCCCTCTCCTGCCCCAGGGCTGACTCAGCACCCTGCAGGGCTGTTGGTCAGCACTTGGTCCCCTTCTCCATTTGGGCCAACCCATGCATGTGGGGAGAACAGCCTGGCTCTGTGTAATTTGTAAACACTGCCCCCTCTGAGAGGTTAAGTAAAGCAGCCCATATGCAAGCCCTGGCTGCTCTGTACTTCTTCAAGCCATGACAGTGGCTTATGATGCATCATTTCTGGATTTTTTCAACTGTTTTGACTCACTCCGCTACTGCAGGCCGTTTGTCCACATGGTTACAACAAACTCCAGCATGGTGTTCTTGCAACAAAGGCTTTAGCCTCAAGCAGAGCTGTTGTCTTCTCCTGGGAGCTACTGAGGTGTAAAGGGAAGGGATGGGCTCTTGGGGCTC